GGATGAGATATCATCCTATTTCTTTTGTATCATAGGGAAAACATGTTTCAACACATTACAGAGGCACTTTCCTGATAAACAAATTTGAATGTGTAATCCTTTCTGATCAGAAACAAAAATCAAAAATGTTCTTGTCTATCATGCTCTCCAGCTAATACCTCATTGAGATAGTCCTCAAGATCTGCCAAGATGCGGATATAAAAGTGAGGCACTCCTTCCTTGTCGACAATACTCTTGGCCTTTCCATAAGCCTTGCCCAGCAACTCAAATTCCTCCAGACATTTGGTGACATCTCTGATCTTCATAGCATTCCGGATTGTTTTGATCAAATTGGTTAGTTCCTCAAATCTGGCAGACAGGAAAAAGAGGACAAAAAACAATTAAACCAGGGGAGTGAAGAGAAAGGCAAAATAAGGAGATATACAGTATTTAGGACATGAATAAAGGCTATGGCCTCAAAGAAGGCTATGGCCACCAAACCCAATGTAAACCGGCCACCAACAGGATAAGGCACTTTCCAGAGATTGAAAAATATAATTTTGGTTCAATCCTCCAAACTTTAAGTGCCCTTCTTCTTCCAGTATACATCACCTTTTGTCTTTAGCACTACGCACAACTCTCTTTGTATCTTCTTCATCCTCACTCAGCATCAAAGGCCTACAAGACAAGAAGGAAAATAGTTGATAGATATCTATGAGTAATTGACAGAAAAAACTGGAAGTCAGAGGGGAATAAGTTTAAGAGGGACATCTTATGCCAACATTTTAAAAAAATCACCAAGAGGATTGTTTTATAATATATTTGAATGCATCTTTACAGGGATGCTTCAATAAGTAACATTAACACCAGAATATTTTTTGGCTATTTTTAATTGTGGATGAGATTAGCTTTTGCAGTTCTGCAGTTAATGCTATTCAGAGATTAGACTAGAAATGCAAATTGCAATATCATATACTTTCACTCAATAGCCTGAACCAATATGCAAAATTTGTCATAAAAATCTCACTCTGCCTATTTTACCCAATCTAATTATTTTCTAGGAACCTAGAACCCACCTCTCCAATCCTAACCATCCCTATATATACTTACTGTTTCCCAAAATTGCCTCCAACAGGCTTGGTTACTAATTCATCTCCAGAGAGCGACGATTCTGACTCACTGTCTGAGCCAGTAGTAAAAAAACGTGACATGGCAACAAGTTTGGATTGTAACTCAAGTACAATTTCTGACCCTAGAGGAAAATATAAAGATTGAAAAGTCCAGTGAGTATATAGCATTTTCATATTCATACAGCTATTTCTATTGATTTGAAAAATGTTTGGAATATAAATTATGTTTCCATTCTTTGATCCAGAAAAACTTTACTTGTACAGAAAAGAAATGTTAGATGTAACTGAACCATTACATGGATGAGATTTCTAATGCTTGAGATTAGGTATGAAGTCTAGCCAGCTAGTCCACTCACTTTTGATATAATCAATAAAAACAATTCCACAATTACAATAGACAGCCTAATGCAGACTTATCACAATAACCAAAGACAACCCTCCCATCTCTCCTCATCAAACAAAATAAAAAACAAACAAAAAAGCCTGATGTGACACTGCATATCATTGTCATTCCCAAGGAATCTCCTTCAGAACATGTTAAGCACCGCCCTCCCCAATAACATAATTTTATAACTTTTTTTAAAGAGTAAGGCCACACCTGGAATACTACATCCACTTTTGGCCACCACATTACAATAAAGATGTTGAGCCTTTGGGAAAAGTGCAGAGAAGAGCAACTAAGGTAATTAAGGGCCTGGAGATTAAAACATATGAAGACTTGTTGCAGGATTTGGATTTGGCTAGTCTAGAGAAGGACGTGGAGGGGGCATAATAGCAGTATTCCAGTATTTGAGAGGTTGCCACAAAGAGAAGAGGGTCAACTTATTTCCAAAGCACTGTAGGCAGGACAAGAAACAATGGATGGAAACTAATCCAGGAAAGAAAAAACCTGGAATTAAGGAAAAACTTCCTAACTGTTAGAGCAACTAATCAGTGGAACCGTTTTCTTCAGATGTGGCTACTTCATCACTGGAGATTTTTGAGAAGGGGCTGGACTGTCGCTTGTCTGAAATGGTATTTAGGGTCTCTTGCTTGAGCAGGGGATTGGACTAGAAGACCCCCAAGGTCCCTTCCAGCTCTATTCTGATTGAAGGCTCTTCCACCTTTTGGCTGAAATGTTTGCTGGGAGTCAATGACATTTTTAAAAATGTGTCTTCTCTCTAGCCTGATGCCAGCCAGCTATATTGGACTTCCTCCCACAATCCTTAGGCCCCTTGGGAATCGTAATAGTTGAAAACCAACACATCTAGAAGAACATATGGTTGGGGGAAAGTGATAGGTAATCATTCATAACAACACCCATTACTATACATAAACTTTACTAAATATCGTGTCCAAAACCCAACTAAATAATATTTGAAACCAACCGGTCACAGAAAGGCAAGGCATGCAGGAGAAGAATGTACTTTGACTATTTCACCCTTTTACAGATCGCTCAAATACTCTACTGTCGCTTCCCCTCCACCACCACCGCCACCCTCCAGCTCTTCCACCCATCTTCCCCTTCGCCTCCTCCGGCCTCCACGGCCGAGCAATCGGCCTCAACACGCGCTCACCTCGGGCCTTGCCGGGAAAAAAAAGCCTCACACCACGCAACCACTGGGCAAGCGCAGGACTTCACGTCGTCGCGTCCGGGAACGTACAAATAAAAGCTGCAGGAAGTCTTTGTCGCAGAATCGATGACTTTTTCCGCTCATAAAAAAAAACTCCATTCCCTGGCGACTTCCGCTTGCGAAGAACCACAAAGTTTTGACCATAGAGTTGCAGCCTCAAGTAGAGCTGTACCGCTCTAGCGCCCTCTTGGAAGTTGATTGAAAGGGGCCGCTTTCAAACTTTGCCGGAAGTTTATGAATGTGTTGTATCTTTTAGCTATCCGCGCATTATCGCATTTTCTGGTAAATAATTACAACACTTTTTTTTTCACATGGATTTTCTGATTGAATCGGAATCCCCCTCTCCGCTGTCTCTCATCCATATTGCGTCACTTTTTTTACTTACACCCTCCAACCCCCCCCCAACCTGGGTACCGTATATTCACTGATATCAACGCACGGTATTCAGTAATTCATGACAAAAATGATATTTATCAGTTTATTCGATTTACTCGACAAAAAAAGTATACAAAAATAACAGTTTTTAAGCAGCTACAGAAAACGATACTTTTGGGGCATATTTTGCAAGTCCCACATTTATATAACTGCCTTCCATTGGAAAGTTAGCAAAAACTAAGTTAAACTATTAATTATTAAATGTACACCCCACTAATCACGTGCATACATTTAAATTAAAATAAATGTGGTTAATAGAATTTATTCCACTGTATTCAATGTTCCCTTCCATTACATTAAAAATATGTATAATGTATCCATGCCCTTGGGATATGAACCAACTATAATTATTAAGCTAAAACAAAAAAGACTCATTATCTTCAGTGCCATTTAAACAAAACAGAACAAAACCAGCATAGTTATGAGAGGTTTCGCTCCTTGCTTACTGAAACAGATTTTGAACACAACAAATGTTTAATACTCACCTGTATATTATACATTTCATAGAAACAATATATCTTCTGTGTTTCAGCAAATTAAGCCTATTAAACACACTGATTGCAAATATGTAGGAATCTTGTGTTGCAATTGGGTTGCATTTAAAGCATGCTTTATTAGAATTAGTGAATATTGCAATTTAATAACTAATTTATAATCTCATGTTTATTTGGCAAAGTTCTCTAGAATGCCAGCTAGTCAAGTCTGTACTAACCCACTACTGTATATGTGCCTTTGGTTCTGGAATATTACACTCATTTATTTACAATTATTATAAATGGTTGCAGATGGAACTCACTCGTGCAATATTTAATTCCCATCTTTGCACATTCAAATTAAAGACATTAAACATAACAGTATAATTATATAGGCCAAATCAATAGGAAAATGGGCAGATGGGGGCAGGAATTCCAGAGTTAGTGAACTGTAACTTCAGTTAGGTAATAAATGTCAGGTTCTTTTGCTCATTACAGGTAGTCCTCAATTATTACCACAATTAAGCCCAAAATTTCCACTGCTAAACAAGACAGTTGTTAAATAGGTTTTGCCTCTTTTTACAACTTTCCTTGCCATAGTTGAGTAACATGTTTGTTAAGTGAATCTCACTTCCCCACTGACTTTGATTTCCAGAAAGATGCAAATGGCAATCTTATGACTCCAGGACACTGTCACCTGTCATAAGTCAATTGCCAAGCATCCAAATTTTGATTGCATGAACATGGGGATGCTGCAATAGTTGCAAGTGTGAAAAATACTTTTTTCACACTTTCACTTTTTTTCAGTGCTGTTGTAACTCTGAACAGTTGCTAAATGAATTGTTGTAATTCCAGGACTACCTGTAATTACATCAATCACTGCAAAATTATTTCAAAATGTTCTTCAACCATGGGGAAATTTCATTAATCTCCATTGGCATAAGTCTTTTTGCTGTTGTTTTTAAATGTCGGATATTTGATCTATGTTTCCTATACAGCAGGATCCCAAGCAAGAAAAGCCCCATCCATGCACACACAGCATTCAGGCAAGGCACAAAATCACGTCTTCCTGCTCCAGAAAGAAGCACCCTCCACAGAACTGTTCCCTGGCACTCAAAAGGTGTGGGGGGGGGGCACTACTGTAAAGTGACAACTACATACCTTAGCTAGTTCTGAGTACAGGGAAGCTGCTACCAAAGGAAGTACATTTTCTGGAAGCTAAATACTCACTTTGGAGTATTAAGGGTGTTTACCTTAGAGAAACTTCAATGTCAGTTTTAACACAGTGTCGTTGGACTCTGAGAATCCAGTCATTCACATTAGAAAAAATTAGCCCAGCTCTATCCTTATTAATCACAAGAATCCAGAAATCAGTTGGAGAACAGTTTTATTTACTATTTAGCTGGCATTTTCTCTCTTGTAACTTCTGCCTGTAATTCCAATGTCTATTTCCAATTTTTGCTCAGTCATTTCAAATAATCACAGAAGTCCACAAATGTAAACTTACTAACTTTATCGTACTCTGACATAGAATAATCATTTAGCAACAGTAACAGTTCTCCGACAGTTTGCCTTACTGACTAAATTTAGAAAGAAGCAGATCGTGAGCATCTGATTTCTAACATACTCACTTATGAACAAAACATAGAATCTCTTTTCTCTCTCTCTTGAATCCAGTTATTTAGAGAGGCATCTTCTGAACTGTTTTCATTTCACTCTGTTCTTCATTAAAAGTATTACACCTTTGAGAACTCTATAACATGATTCCATCCAACAGCAAGTGCGTTTTCCTACTTTAACCCTGCTAAATCCTATACAATGTGAAAAGGAAAAAACACAACTGGGCTCATTAAAAACATCTAATTTCCCAAATCAGAATGTTCAGGAAATTAAGCCAAGAGGATAAATTCCTAGCAGATTCTGATACTCCTTTTTTCTTGTGCTTGGAGGTCAGTCAATACTAATAACACCCAGGAGTTTCCCCTCCATACAGTTGGGCATCAGCCTACTGAAGAGCAAAGGTGAATTATGCCAAGACAACTGTTGATCCCGCTGGAAAACAGACTTCAAGGAAGGTGACAGAAATAGTTGTGCACAGGGATGGCAATGGCCCCTGAAAGCGAGATGCCCAAAGTATCAGCTATGCAAGCTACTCCCATGGCAAATTCTCGATGTTCTGGCTTGCTCTGCATGTAAGAAAAGAGGGGGGGGGGAGGAATCATATTTCTTTGCCATGACACTGGATGTATTGAAACAAGTTGGATAACCAAATATCAAAGTCTTCGAAGAAATTAACTGTTCCTTTCAACTTCAGGATCGCCCCCTACCTGAAATGCCCAGTTCTCCCCATTTCCAAAACAAGTGATGAAAATATTTGTTGTTTCCTATACTAGTTAAAGAGGACCATTGAGTTTGTTTGCAGAGAAGCCCTGCAAATCTTATAATTCATCTTTTATTCTAGGTGGGAGTACCTTCTGGTTAAGAGCCACAATTTATCATCCTTTAGCCAGCTGAGGAAAAGGCCACTATGAAATAGACTAGATCTGGGAAGTTACTTTGATGGGTGGTTACCATATTTTTCAGAGTATAAGATGCACCAGAGTATAAGATGCACCAAGGTTTTGAAGAAGCAAATTAAAAAAAATGTTTTTTGCAGTCTGCAAACCTCCCTAAAATGGCCCATTTTTTCACAAAAACAGGCCCATTTTTTTGTCCAGAAAAAGGGTATGGATAGCCTTTAGGAGGCTTATAGAGTCCTCCTGGAGGCTGGGGAGCATTTTTGCTAATTTCTGCCCTCCTCAGCCCCCAAGGAGCACTCTGAAAGCCTCCTAAAAGTTATGTACGGCCATTTTGGTGAAGGGGGCAGGGTTTTGGGAGGCAAAAAATGATGCATTCAGTGTATAAGATGCACCCAGATTTTCAGCCTCTTTTGAGGGAAAAAAGGTCTGCCTTATACTCCGAAAAATATGGTAATTGTGAAAGGCTATATTTAGAACCCTATATTACAATTTTGATGTGTTTCCTAATTAAATTGGGGTGGGATGATGTGGGCACTCTCTTACCAGTGTTAAGATATTATGGTCAGCAGGATGTCAAGGACTATGAAAGAAGGGCAATGCAGTGTCATAGGATGCTTATTTCTTCTACACATTTGAGCATGAGATGCTCTCTTCTATCCACCCAACATGTAATTGATCTTCCATCCTTCCAACCCCACCTCTTGCTTCTTCCCTCAAACTCACCTCTTCACTGACACAATGGAAAGTGTTCACATAGCCAGCTCCTCCCAGCAATCCCTCATACAATATCAGCACGAAAACCAAGAAGATACTGGGTAGAAACAAGTAGCTCACGGCAAATAGGAGAAACACCATATTCAGGCACTAGGGGAGAACAAAAGAAAATTAGCCTGGTAAAATGGTAGCAATTTTCTGGAAGCCAAATCATAGACAAGACATAGTTTATGGTGGCAGGTCACAGATTATTCCAATAGAGGCTCGCCGGTTCTTTTTTGCTTTTAATCAGCCTTGCTCTCAGGTTTTTAAAATCAAATACCTTTCACAGATATTAGTAGCTTATGCCCCTGATGAATATCTCTTGATTGATTCTGACAGCTATTCATGATGTTAATGGAATGCTGAATTGTTTACGCTAGTCAGATTTTGTTATTTTTATTCATTTGCCTGATGCAAACCACCTTGAGCCTATGAAAGTATGCTGAATGTAAATAATTCTAATACATAAATACAAAGCAAGTGGGAGGAATGGAATAAATCTTACAATCAAGAGAGGACCTGTTTTAAAGAGATGGGAAGGAATCATTACATGGAGAAGAAGGGGAAACATTGGTGAGCGGAATTTTTTACCTGCAATATAGCCAGAACCCATATTTTTCGGATCCGTATACAACTGGCAGAGGAACGCGAAATAAAAACCCCTGCCTGATAGAGCATCTGATACCTGCAAAAAGACAGAAAGAATTCGGCTTAAGCCACAATATGGTTGGTTAAATTGTTACTTCTATATATGAATATACTAACTGTAAATATTAAAAAATCCTCCAGAAGTCGCACAAGAGTTTTCACATCTAGAGGTAATCCTTAACTTGTGACTACAATTAGGACCAAATTTTCTGTCGCTAGGCAAAGCAATTGTTAAATGAGTTACTCCGGATTTTACAAATGATTTTTGCCACAGTTGTTAAATGAAGAACTGCAGTTGTTAAGTGAATTATGCAGTTGTTAAGCAAATCCAGCTCTCGTATTGACTTTGCTTGTGGGAAGCTGGCTGGGAAGGTTAAAATGGCGATCACATGATCCCAACTGATCATAACTATATGCTCATTGCCAAGTGCCCAAATTTTGATCCGGTGACTATAGTGATGCTACAATGGTTGTTCGGTGAAATGACTGGTTGTAACTGATTTTTTCCCACTGCTGTTGTTGTCAACCCTGAAGCTGACTTAACCAAAGACATTTTTGACAGCTTCAGCATTGCCACACTGGAGCTGAGGGATACGGAGGGGGGATTTGAGATAATTGAGATTCTGTAGCCAAACCAAAATATTTTCTCTTTAAAACCAAGGACATTCTCACACCTAGTCGGAGAAAGGCAGAGTGATGTCACCTGGCAGCCAGAATGCACTGTTATTGGACCATGTGACTGATTGTTTTGAGAAAATGGGAAAAGTTTGACTTGTAATTAGGTGAAAACTGCGGAAGTCTTCAGAGTCAGTTTTCACCAGATTTGTGCCAATATGATATTTCCAATAAAGCTACTCTTTGAGGAATCTATCTGCCTTGGAGTTTTGCTTAGCATGGACTTGTTACTTGGAACCCTGACAGCTATCACTTTGAACAATTGCTAAACAAATGCTTGTATCTTTTTTCTAGCCTACCAACTCTTCTCACTCAGTTAGTAATTCATTTTTTCTCCACAAAGTAACATCCAGTTATCTTATTCAGTGTTGGATGAGGCTAATGGGAGGTTACAGTCTAACATTTTGAAAGCACCAAACAAAAAGTAGCTATTTTATCACCTTGCCACTTACCAGCGATATTGTTGGGGATGATTTAAAGTTGTGTTTCGAAAATACAACAATTCAAACTGGGGAAAAAACAAGGCAGAGAGTCAATGTTAAAAAGAAAAAGCCTCAAATTTTTTTAGAACCTCTTCTAAAGCAGTGCGGCCTGCTTTGTGGGAGTGGCTTGCTGGCCATGTGACTGGGTGGGAGTGGCTTGCCAGCCATGTGACTGAGTGGGAGTGGCTTGGCAATCATGTGACTGGGTGGGCGTGGCCAACTTGTAAAATGTGGTGAAACTCACTTAACAACGCTCTTGCTTAGCAACCAAAATGTTGGCTCAGAAACTCTGGCATTTGAAGCATGAAGTCTTAAAGCTGTCAAGTTAAAAGCACCCCTAACCCTTTAGAAAAAAAACCCCAGGGGTGTTCAAACGTGACAGCTTTAAGACTTGTGGACTTCAACTCCCTGAGTTTCTGAGCCAACATTTTGGTTGCTAAGCAAGAGCGTTGTTAAGTGAGTTTCACCACATTTTACAAGTTGGCCACGCCCACCCAGTCACATGATTGCCAAGCCACTCCCACTCAGTCACCTGGCTGGCAAGC